CAGCTTTGGGAAACAATGACCCACTGTATCACATCACAGGATTTTCCCAATCTCTGGGTGTTTCTCAATGTCGAGGAAAGCTGCTCCAGAGCCACTATTTCAAGGATACTACGTCATCGAGTCCCGCCGAAGGACTGTTCCAATGTCCAGGATACTTGGAATTCTACCGAGGCCGGCATACTTCGTTGCGGGAAATTTCGAGGCTGCACATGTGTAGACTCCGCGGTCTTAAAATCCCCACAATGCTTTGCGCACGGACCAATTTCCAAATCTTTGGCGGAAATCGCGCTCCATTTAAGGCAGAGCCTCGCATATGACGCACACCTGTTAGCCTGTTCCACAATTCTTCGTTTTCCGAGGCTAGGAAGGATTCTTGCCTCGCTTCTGAAGCAACTGACTCGGAGGTACATGTGCTACCAAGCAAGCCTCCTCGACATTGAGAAACACCCATTGCCTCAAATGAGGAACAAAATGGCCGTAGATGACTGCCATAAATCGTTTTTAGTAAATCTGATTTACGTCATGATTCACTTGGAAATTTCAAATGTATGTTCTTATTTGTCTAAAGGAGCTGGCCAATTAGCTTGGATGCCAAGTATCAAGTTACTAACATAGTACTGTATTTATTTTCACTTTATATTATGAGTCTTTCCTGTTTCCATTGACGAATGCCCATTTCCTTTTTGCCAGCTGAGACTTCCTGTCCATAATGGCTGTGTGTGTCACAGCTTTATGTCCCTAACAGATGTTCTGTTCCCACAGGAGAGTGCAGTGCACACCGTGAGCTAATAATACACAATCGCTGACTGCTATGAATCTGATTATATGTGAGGATAGGTTTCTGTTTGACATACACGCTGCAAAGGTTCAGTTTCTCAGAACTTCGCTGTGCCAGGTGATGAAGTGTGGAGAGGACTTTGGCAATTTACAGGTTGTTATAAAAGATTGGCATTTTACAACCCGGAAGCTAATCAAATGCCAGCTAGTTTTGGCAGTGATATAATTGTATTGTCGAAGTAAAACAAGGAAGGGATTTTGAAGTTCTAAAACAGTGAGTGAATAATGTGTACTCAAGACTACAGGCCAAAACTCAACTATGCTAGCAGACCTGTGTCCAAATATGCAGAGCAATTATTTGAGCTAAATGCTTACAGAAACATGCTAACTTATTCACAATGATGATGTTAGCATTTTGACAAAATACAGCATCAATCTTGTTGGGGTTACGGTATATTCCAATTGATTCCAGTTGCGAGGGAAAAGAAAAGAGAAGGTTTATTCTCTGGGCACCATGAATATCTGTAGGCCTACTAATCTTCATGAAATAGTTGTTTTACTTAAAAAACTAAAACTCTCAACCTGATGGTAGAGTTAGATGAATGCCAGGGAATCATCAATGTACTTTTGATTCACCAACTGGGGATCATGAATAGTGTTACAACATTTGATGTCACTTCCTCTAATTGTTGTTAAAATAATTCAGCTTGGAGGAGCTGTATCACCTTACCTACAGCCATGCTGGCTAAACATGCTGAATCCAATTACATTTCAAAGCTCTTGAGTGTTAGATGTGCTGTGGGAAATACACTATACCCAGTGAAGCCTCTGGGACCAATGAGACACTCACTACCTTATTAGAGTTGTTTACCTTTTCACTTCTGGTATCATCTTTCACATGTCAACTGCTTGGTGTGTGCAGTAGGCCCCACAGCTCATTTGTATAATGAGCTTAGCTACAGCTTTTTTTGTTTTGCTTTGATGTTGCCCCAAAGCTGCAAAAATAAAACACAGTAAAGGAGGGGGGTGTTTGAAGAGTAAAGGCTCATACCTTGTTATCACATTCCTGACATTGACCCGTTTCACCCAACTCCAATGCCCAATCTGCCTCGGTAAATCTGTTTTAAAACATGACGTGTTGTATGGCTGTGGTCCAGTCCCTCATGATGACCCGCCGCCTGCCCTCTTCTCTCCGCACCATCATCACACCCAGTCTTTGTCTTCACAAAGAAAAGACCCACTGAAATAAAAACAGCCCCTTCCTTTCCAGAAGGGCCATGTCTGCATCCTTGGCCGGCTTCCTGCCCGTGGAGTGGCGGGTTAGCATTATGAGAAAGGAGCCAGTTTGAGTAAAGTGCCACAGATCCTGGACCAGGGGAGGGAGGGAGTGACTCAGAGCAGAGGGGATGAGTCAGGCGTCATGTGCTGAATTGGCATGCACCAGACCCGAATGCTTTCTGTTATCGCAAGCACTATAATGGTCAAAATGAGCCTACCTTTTGTTACAAAGGCATGGTAATGTGGCCTTGCCTTGCTTATACAGGCCATGTATGCTAATCGGTTTTATCATCTACAAATATGCAACAGTGAGTGAATGGGTATTAAAAATGCTTTCTGATGGAATAAAAGCCCGCATTTATCGTCATCGCTTAACGTTCAGTTCAGTCACTCCAGAGAGAGCCACAGTTGACCTCAGTTTCTGAGGGCATGGACAGGACTATTCACTGTGATTGAGTATCTTCACTTGTTGGGTACATTTGAAAAAATCAAAGGTGAGATAACTTCTTTATGAGTAGGATCGTCTATGTTCCACCCCTGTTCAGATGATATAAAACAACTCATAATGTAACATCTCAAAATTCTTCTTCACAGAGACCCGGGTTCAGTTCTTGTGATTCTCAGTTGAGTTTTCCAATGGGAAATTAAGGATAGATCTTATCGAGTTGGAGTAGCAGTGTCTTGCTTGAAAAATATACTTATCCCGACAGACACTTGCCATGTTTTCTGCGTATTGTAATTATGAAGTTGAAGTATAGACAGATATTTCTCCAGTTCTAAAATAGATGATTACCTGGTTTCTTGAGAGAGCAAGAATGTTTGTATGACAATGGACAACAAATCTTTATTATCTAGAAATTGTGTGTGATTAAGTTATTCAGATTGAAACTCCATAACTTTCACTTCCATATTAGATACAAGTAACATTTACTTTTCATTAAATACATATTTCTTTTATTTCATCATTGGGGACAACATCCTTATTTTCAACTCAGTTTCTGATGTGAGTCACTTCTGACTTCATTACTTCTCTTACAGCCGACCCTGACTCATGGCGCACTGTCTCTCTATCTCACTTTCTCAGATTGCATTACCTTCACTGTGTGTGACTTTACTGCATTAACATCCATTTGTATCAGAGTGACTGTGATGCTAAAACAGTTTGTGCCAACATTTCAGTCACGGATTTCAATGACCGACTTTACTGCTGCCAGTTTATCAGCTTTGCCATATTTTCTTGAAACTACTGGAACTTTTGGAAAGCCACTGTATACAAATCATCACAATATACTGTCATTGTGTAATAATTAGGACATATAACTAGTTTAACATGTGCCTAAATGAACATTTCCAAATGGGTTGTCGCTTTATCTTGATCTCATGCTCCGTCCTTAGAACATCTCTTAAGAAAGGCATAGCACTTTTCTGTATGAAGGATACAGGCAAGCTATACAAAACCCAGAAAGACAGCTTAAAGTATACAAAACTAGCTCTTATTTAAACAGCTGGAGAAAGAGAGAATTACTTTAATGGGCAAAAGCGGAAAATGCGAGTCATCTTTCTCCTCCATTGCTCCATCATCCGCACCATCTCCCCCAGCCTTGGAAAATCCTTGGCCTCAGTGCCCAGGACAGGGAGGAGGAGGAGGAGGAGGAGGAGGAGGAGGAGGAGGAGGAGGAGGAGGAGGAGGAGGAAACAATGCTAGGAATGTGTAAAAAACGTGAGTCATTCCCACATGTCAAGCTCCGGCTCAGCTCCTCCTCCTCTTCTCAGATGCATGTTGCCTTCAGGTTCTCCTCATGAGCTTTTAAGTGTTACTTATTCGAATAAACTATTGTAGCTGCTGCCTTTAACTTTCACTCTCTCGCTTGCTTTACTGGACTTTTATTCTAGGAAAATACACTTGCAAAGAGAATAATTGCAAACCATTACATCACAATTAAATGTGTGGTTTATTACACAAGATGTTGGTAACATTATCCTTCATGGCAAACAGAAACCTTTACAGTTACACGTAACCATACTTTTATTTTTCATGTGAACTTGGCTTTAATTATGATAAGAATATTTCCTACAGCCCCTGAAGGCAGCAAGAGAGGAGGGGGTTTCTTCTCCAAAAGTAATTGTCCCTTATGAGAAGCTCATGATAAAGCCACACTGACTGCTCTCAACGCTTCTCAATAACTGTAACATGCACACTCACTGTGGCACACAGCAGCTGTCTTTCCATACAAACACATTTTTCCAAATGAGTGCAGCTTTAAATTACAATGCTTTGATATGTGGTCTCATCATTTAGCAAGAGTGAATGTGGCTTTTCTTTCCAGGCATAGACGGAAAGAACACTGAAGAACAAATATCTCAGCAGCACAAAGAAGAGCAGCAAAGTAATGCCCAAGTTAGGCTAAGCTTGACATTAAACAGACAAGATCATCACTTTTGGAAAAAGTATTCTAATCCATACTTGAGTAAAAGTATCAAAACCTCAAAGTAAAAATATTCAATAAAAAGTTGTTCTGTTGAAATTTCTAAGTTTTATCAGAGATTCTCAAGTGAATTACAAACACTTTTTTGTACCACTGAACATTGAATACTGACTAAAACAGGCATGACCAAGAGTAATTTGCAATAAACTATAAATAAACTACTATGTCCAATTATTTGATTAAGGTGATTAAAATCAACCAAATTCGTTTTGTGTAATTTTTCGAATTCTATCCTGAAAAGCTGCAAAAAAAAAGTATCGGAATGCAAAAGCATATCTTATAAAGTCCCAAAACACACGTATTATGTTTAAAAGCAAATGCAGTTCAAGCAGTTCTTGACTGGACTTTCTCAAATACAGAAGGATTGGTGTGCCTTGTAAAATTGCGCGTTCACGACGTTCTCCTGGCCTGCCCAGTATCCCAGTGTGCACGCTCCCGCTCCGTGCTGGTGGAAAAAGCTGCAGCGGCTGTTCTGTTACCGGAGCCACGCAGAGAGAGAGAGGAGGCACAGGCACTGGCAAAAGAGTTGAGCTGCACACACAAGGATTTTTCCTTATTCCTGCCGAGGACGACGTTGTCAAAACCGGAATTTATGGCCGCCAGGAAGTGGTAGTATCGGTGGGGAGATATTCGGCGTTTGAAAGGTAGGAAAAAGTTAGGTAAGGGTTGTTTTTTTTCTCCAAAATTGAAAGTGTCTCAGCCACAAGTCTCGGCAGTTTCCTTCGGTTGCCAACTTCCAGTTTGTACAGCAGGGGAAATGTCGTGGCTTTAAAACTATGCTAACGGCTCTTTAGCACTATATGTAAACTGTAATGCTGTTTAGTGATGCGTAGACAGCGGAGAACTTTGCTAACCTTTTACGGTTTTCAATGATAGCTAATTAACGCAGTCTTCGTAACATTGCAACATAACTAACGTTAGCTGCTGCTGTCATGTCTTCAGGGCTGAAATACTGAAGACAGTGGATGCCCCGCCGCTGCTGCTTGTGTTTGCTCAAAAGTTTAGCGTAGCCTACTTCTGCTTTTAGGAAAGGAGCCCGTAGGCTACCAAAAGACAACTTCGCAATGTTTACAAAATGGGATAGGCGGCATTTAACTGACCGCTGCAGAACAAGGGACCACCACGGGTATTTTGTTTTAGAGGGAAACAGTGGGACGTGGTTTTATTTGAGAGACATTTCACCGCCACGGATTTTTATATAATGAGGAAATGCATAGAGATGAGTGGAAAGAGAAAAAAGCTCGTTGTATTCTGTTTCCATCTTTGTCACTCTCCGCAGACCAGACACTACTGTTAAAACTTCAAGTCATATGCAACAAAAACACACTGATTAAAACGTGGTTATTTTTGTATTTCATTACATTATCTCTTAATTGGAGTATCTCACGTGACGTGTTGTAAAGTGCCTCTTACAGTTATATTGTATATTAATAACAACAAATTGTCTTGATTTTAAAGAAGTGTTAAATGTTTATTTTAAAGGCACAGTTTATTCTCCTTTAACCTGTGGTTTCACAAGGCTGAATCTCTTACAAAATACCCTGATCATCCACATTATCCCCATGTCAAGCCATTTACCCAACACAACGCAAGGCATGTGATAGTAGGTATTACATAAATACACCAGGCTTAATACTAGTAATTGTTTTTATCAGAGGCATGGTTTCATTTTCTTTCTCACCCTGCACATCAAAGGTGAATGAAATGATAGCTTATTAAATTAGATAACAAAACCAGTGTGATTAATGTGTTTAATTCTCTTTGGAAAATGCTTTTCAGAATTGCTGGTTACCAACAAATTGACATTTTGCATCGAGGCTGTGACTAATAATGACATAATTATATTTGAATTAGTTTTTGTAAACGTAAAGGTTTGGACAGCTGCTAAATGTTAAGGAATCCGATTGGGTAATCAGTTTGATGATAAGATTAAGTATTATCAAAAACAAGTATTCTGGTTTGGTATTTTGAGGTAAGCACCAGACTGCATGAAAGAACGGCATTAGCCTTTGTGTTTTGTTGTACAGAAGAGGATTAATAACATATATTTTCTTTCCTGGACATGGAAACACTTGTTTAGTGCGAGAATCAAAAACCCAAAGGCTTTTGTTAACTATCGCATATCCATTTGCAATGCAGGAATAATTGATTGTGGGAAACTGCTTGAAAAGTGAAACCTCAGAGAGAGCTGAGGGTCAATGAGCAGCCGAGAGCACGTGTGCTACACTGTCATTATCAATCACGTCATAACTTATCTTCTCATTATTAGTTATACTAAATCACACATCTCAGGTGTGGGTGGAAAGATGTGCAAACATAATGTCAGCTTTAGCAGGAAATCAACATCTGTACTCTCCAAAAATCCATATCGGTCAAATCCTAGTGGTGTTACTGCCAAGATCCATAATCAAGTGTATTATTCTGCAACAACAGGGACAAGAAACCCTTGTGTTTATGTGAAGAATGTGTTTGTGAAAGTGAAAACATTCTTTAGTTCCAGTGTCACAAGTTGAGGCGAGTGAAAGTAGAAGCACAATGCATCTCTAAACCTCAGCCCATTCACATACAGACACAGGACTGTTGATAAATGAGCTGCTTCTTTGTGCGCTCACGTGGGACTGTAGATGTCACTTCTTGTTTTTACTTGCTCTTGTTTTGATTACGACTCTTTAGTGGACAGTGTCAACAAAGGCAGGACTCTGACATTGTTACTTCTTCACCTGTTTGTTGCTGACCGGCTTGCGGATATGAAGATAATTCAGATCTTCTGATAAGCCAGTGTCCTGCGGATGCCTGTCCCCAAAGTGCGTGGGACCAATATTTGCAGGATGGTTTCCTACATTTCTGAATTGAATGAATGTGAGCATACCTGACATTCTTTGTGGGGAGCAACAGGAAGATAGGGCTTTGTGGTGATCTTGATCTTTCTGGATCTCAGAGGGCTGAAAGATGTTTTGTGTGTGTCTTTGACAGATAGAGATGAAGTCTGACAGCTGCAGGATATACGCCTGGATGATCACAACATTTCATAACATTTGTTATTTCAGGGCAGCTGCTATACATACACAGTCATAAGTACTTTAACTGCCTTTCCCCTTTGTTGTCTTGTACACGTTTTTAGCAGTGTATTCTAGATTGCGTAATTGTGGCATATATTATCCACTTCAATTGTTTCTTGTGGATGCCATTGGTGGCTCACTGGTGGCTCACTGGAAGCATATCATGACATGGCAGTGCAGTGAGATGTTTACAATCAATCCCTTTTTATATTTCGACTTTGGATGAATTAGTTTCTGTTTCCCGTAAAGATCAATGAGCAGCCGCTGAACGGAGGCTTATCACTGTGTGTTCATTAAATACATATCCATACATGTTTAAGACGCACATGCCAGTTAACAATACAATGTATTCTAATCTTTGAGTTCTGAGTGATAAAGCAAAAACTCCTTCATCAAAGCTGAACCACAAATACATTACAATACACTAAATAGCTTAATGAGCTCGTTCTGAATGATTCAATATTATGACTCTTCTGCCTTGTGAAAGCATTGAACAGCTTTTGTTCTAATGTTGGTATTTAAATTGATATTGATTTATCACTAGCATTGCTTTTTTTAAGGCATTATAGTATTTTTGTACAGAACGATACAATTATTTATGAGTATGCATTTTATTAGACTTCAAGAAGTGTTCACAGTCCAGAATTCGGGAATATATGACGTCAATTGGATTGAATTCAACTATAATAAGGCTTATATTTGCAGAGGAGGGCATACTGTGAGATTTTCAAATGTGTTTGGCTGAAATGAATCTAATAAACAGTTGTTTTCGGGGAAAGGTTAGTGACATAAATCACAGGTAATGTTTTGTTTGACCGAATGCATGTGTCCAGTGTGGGATCTGAAACAGGTCTGTGGAGGATGTGCCATGTGACACCACGACCCCTGACCCCTCCCCCTGCCCTGAGCCTGAGCTAGGAAACAGGTGTGACCCAGAGGTTAAGGAGCGAACACACACACACACACACACACACACACACACACACACACACACACACACACACACACTGAAACAGTAGTGGTACTCAGACAAGATGGTAATCCTGTTTTTTTTAATTTGTGATATGTTTTTTTGTGGAAAAGGAAATGAATCCCCCCATGTAAACACACTCCTTCCTCAGTCCTGTAACTAGGTCTGCACTCTGATGCAACATTGGAAAGGTCAAGTGAAATAATGCAATCTTTATGGATCACATTCATAATTTAGTTACTGATATTCTTGGTAAGATCTGGGGCAGAAACTGTTCATATTTATTCTAATAGCCTGTCCCTGTACACATGAATTAATTAATGATCAAAATGAGCAGACATTTAGCTTGTTATGCTAGTTCAAAGTGCTGCTCTTGCTAAATTATAGGTTGTTAAAAAATGTATTTCTAGTCAGATTGGAAATAAGAATCGAGGTCTTAAGAATGTTAAGTTCCCCCAAAGCACTCATAGTTTTACATCTCCAAAGTAAGGTCTTCAACTCCACAAAGCTTAGCCGTACTGTACTTCAGTTTCTCTAAATGTCACATTCTCTGTGATAAACAACATTGTTCCCCTTTTCATGACATCACCGATTTGGCAATGTAGTCTCTCCCTAAAAAAGACCACTCCAGGTTTTAGAAGGTCAACGAGTCTGATAAAGTGCAGTTTGGGCTGGAAGGCAGCCATGTCTAAAAACTTCAGCTTTGTCTGCCATCAAGGCAGAGCCGGAGCCTACTTTTGTTTTGGATTTCTTAATAATTCATTCTGTCAGCTTCAGGTCGTGACATATACCGAGTACATTTTGCAGCTATCGGGCAATAACATCGCACCTACCAAAAGCCAGTGGCGTGTCACCCGAGTCATCCAGGTGGGAGGATGTCAGAACAAATTCAAGTAATCCTCTGTCCTCCAGAATGTACCCAGCTGACTAATAACACCTCCACAATGTGATAGATTGAAGATTTGTTTAGCATGTTTATCACGCACTATGCACTCGATTTCACACTTGTGACATAGGGCTGCTCGATTATGGCAAAAATCATAATCACGATTATTTTGGTCAATAATTGATATCACGATTATTGAATACGATTATTCATTGACTTTGAAAACATCCATTTATTGAACTTTTAAATACAAATAATAATTTGAACAGTGTCTTTTTAACTGTTGATTACCCTGAACGTATAATTCAACTGAAAAACCAATACAAAAATAAATTAAATAAATGATACATTTATATTTACATTTAAATAAATAATATCAAAATAATAAATACCAATAAACAAGATCAACAAATATTTTGGAGCGCACTTCAACAAGCTACTAAACATATATATAAATATGATAAATACAAATAAATGAGACTAAAATAAATGAGATCAAATATGTCACAACCTAGCAAAGCAAAATAATCGTTTTTTTCGATTATGTTGTTTTCGTAATTGTGGCAGGCCAACATCGTAATTGCGATTTTAAAATACGATTAATTGCACAGCCCTAATGTGACATGACATCAGTGTTATGCGAGGTCAGCCAAGTGTCAGAGTTATGAGTCACTTCTGTTTCGGTCTCTGATATGTGGCTTGTTGCAAGATGGTGGTTGATAAAGGAGC